AACTGCTCTGAAACACTGATTCCTTCCGCGAAGAGAATTTAATAGAAAAATTGAGAGCTACTCAAGCGTTCAGAGAAAAAATTCTTTCTCTGGGACAACTTACTTGTGTAACGCATCGCATATTCCGCCCATGAAAAGAGCACAGAATAGGTTTTCGATGGGAGCCGATGGGTCGACAACGCCGAGTAAAAGGGCCGATAATTTGAAATAGGAGAAGAATCCCACAACACACTGAAAACAACACTGCAGGTTGTTAACAATGTTAATTGCGAATTTACCATTGAAAAGATAAAAAGCAAAGCACGAATTAGGAAAGAAGTACGAATGCGAGACTTTAAGCAAAAAAAGGCAAACAACTCACCAAGTAGACAAGGTCGTGTGGCGCTGTAACATACATACTGTTTCTCTCTAGGGTAAATACTAGAGCAGCTATCACACATGCTTTGGTGGTAAACGATGGTCGCAACATTTCATGCTGTGATGGTATCCATGTGCCTCTAACCAGCTGTAAAAATTACGAAGTGACATCCAGGCCAAGAAGGGAAATCAAACGGACCTGTTCCACAATTTTCATCACTCCTGATCCTGCTCCCCTGGCTACACCAACTAATACTTGGACCATGTATGACTCTGGATAAAGTTTGGCAGCATATACAACTCCATGAGAAATCTGAAAGCAGAACGTTGGTATACGAAGGCACAAAGGAGTACGAAGGAGTCGTTAAACGATATATATAGCTGTCAAATAGATTTGAGCTGTTCCTGTATGATCAATATCGAAAAGCTCTGCGCGTTTAGTGACCTATAAAGTTGGAAAAAAACGAAACTTCAGTTATAAATGCACATTACTCCTCGATAGTGCCGATACGCTTCTTGAGATAAAGGAACAAACATTTGTTGAGCAATTTCCAGAGCTACATCTTCCGCAATGGATTATTCTTCAATTTACATACCGGAAAAGAAACCCATCTAAACCGCCTTTGCATGAGCAATCTATGCACATGAGGAAGAAAAAGCATTTATATCAAAGATGCGAGATGAAGATTTCTATTTGGAACCACTCAACAGCAGTTCGAAGCAGCGTAATGATAGCTACCCTCTGATTCAACCA